CGCTCTACCACTTGAGCTACAGCGCCACTTCCGGTTTTCTGGTGGTTTATTGGAGATAAGAGTCTCACGGTCTCTCCTGCCCAGGCTGGCTTTGAGCAGCGATCCTCAGATCTCAGCCTCCTGAGTAGCTAGGATTACAGGCGTGAGCCACCAGCGCCCGGCTTGTTACTGTTTTTTCTTTTGGTCGGTCGTGGGGCTTTAACTCGGCCTGGGCACTGTCCCTCAGCTCTTCAGCTCAAGGCTAGTGCACTACCACTTGAGCCACAGTGCTACTTTTGGCTTTTTCTATTTATGTGGTGCTGAGGAATCGAACCCAGGGCCTCTTGCATGCGAGGCAAGCGCTCTCCCACTGAGCCACAATCCCAGCCCCCTCTAGCTGTGTTTGGTTTTTGAGATAAGGTCTTGCTTGGTTTTTGTCTGGTCCATCTGGACGGTGATCCTCCTATTTATGCTTCCCTCTGGGGATGACAGGTACACACACCCCTTCCCCACTCCCAGCTTTTTCAGTTCAGATGGAATCTCGTGAAGCTTTTTGATTGGAACCTAGAACTGCAATCTTCCTGATCTCAGCCTCCCAAGCAGCTAGGCTAATGGATATGAGCCATTGGTGCCTGAATTCAGCAGCCTCCTAATGGAACCCTTGCCTCTGTCTGTCCTGTCCACGGCCAGCCTGCTCTTCTTCAGACACAGTCCGACCCCCCACTTGCCTGAGTTCAGAGGCATCCATGGCTCCCTCTGTCCATGGGTTCCCAGGAAAATCTCAGGCATGCATGGTAAAATAGCAACTACTGCAGGCCAGCTTTGTGGCCTGCCTTTGGGCTCAGTCCTCAGCCTCCACTAGCTTCCAGTGCCTTTCCCCTAAGTGTAAAGTGAATGGACCAGGGTTATGAGGGCTTGGGACAGTGCTGGACCAGCAGGAGAAGCAGGTGGATTTGCCCCACTTTATAGATGAGGGAACAGCAAGGTGAGGCAGCTTGCCCAAGGCCCCATTGCCGTGTGGGTGAGCTGGGATGGGAGCTGCTCGGCTCCGTGCCGTGAGGCAGGCCCTCAGCCGTCTCCTGGGCGTGTGTGCTGCCTAGGTGCCTGCAGGGGCTGCGGCAGGGGCTGCTGGCATGGCGGCAGGAGGCGCCCTCCGAGTTCGACCTGGCCTACTCCGACTTCCTCTCCCTGGACATCAGCATGCTGCGCCTCTTCGAGACCTTCCTGGAATCTACCCCACAGCTTACGCTGGTGCTGGCCATCGTGCTGCAGAGTGGCCGAGCTGAGTACTACCAGTGTGAGTGCCCCCCTCCCGGGCCAGCTGCTTCCTGCTAACGTGTGTGTGTGTGTGTGTGTGTGTGTGTGTGTGTGTGTGTGTGTGTGTGTGTGTGTGCTGGGCCCGAGTGCTGTCCCTTCACTTTTACACCAGTATCCACTTGAGATGCTTAGGTCTTATCGAGCATCTTTTCTTTGCTTGTGGCTGTGCTGGGGACGTGGCAGGGGCTGAGGGCTCCTGCCCTGCCTGATGGCTTCCTGGAAATCCAGTAGTTTTAGTAAGTGTGCTCAGATACCACAGGGGAGGTTTGCACGGTGAGGAGTCTCGGCTCCAGAGGGGTTTCTGGGAAAGAGGAGTTAAGTGACTTTTAGAGGCCGAGCGAGGCTCTCCCTCACTCCTGAGGGTTCAGGCGAGCTTTGCTGTGCCCAGCCTTGTTGACCTCAAGGCCTCTGCTGTCAACTCTCCAGCCTCCACCCTGTTCTCCGTCAGTGGGACCCAGGCTGGAGCGTCCTCCACTGCACGTGAAGCGGAGCTGTAGGAAGTGGAGCTGCTGGGACCCACTGGGTACTTGCTTCTGAGCTGTCAGAGAAGCACGTGTCCACACTACAGTGGCCCAGGGAGGCCTCAGTGGGTTTTTTGGGCACTACTAGGATTTTTGCTCAGGATTTGGCAGGGGCTCTATCACCTGAGTCCCACCCTCAGCCCTTCTTCATCGTTTTTTTTTTGTAGGTCCTGAGGCTTGAACTCAGGGCGTGAGCACTGTCTCTGAGCTTTTTCACTCAGGGCTGGCACTCTACCACTTTGACCCACAGCACTTCCAGTTGTCTGGTGGTTAATTGGAGAGGAGTCTGGGCTGGCTTTGAACCACAATCCCCAGATCTCAGCCTCCTGAGAAGCTAGGATTATAGGTGTGAGCAACCGTTGCCCAGCTCCTCCTTCAAATTTTGTGCTGGTACTGGGACTTGAACTCAGGGCCTTGAGCTGTCACTTGGCTTTTTTTTTGCTCAAGACTGGTACTCTGCCACTTGAGACATGCCTGCATTTCCATGTTCTTGCTGGTTAATTGGAGGTAAGAGTTTCATGGATCCTTCTGCCTAGGGTGGCTTCAAACCCTGATCCTCAGACGTCAGCCTGCTGAGTAGCTAGGATGACGGGCGTACAGCTTCAATGTTTGTGGATTTTTTTTTTTTTAGCAGACATTTACTACCAGGTACTGGGCTGCCAGGGGACCCCAGGTGCGCAGAACCTTGTGTTCTAGCATCCTGGAGCCCAGAGGATTACTGTGTGGTGAGACTCGAGGTGGAACGGAGGAGTGTTTCAGGAACACCCTGGCACCGTGGAGTGGATGTGGTGGGGTCAGGATGGGGAGGCTTGCGGGGTGGCGCTCAGGGAAGGGGCACGTGAGCTTCTGGCTGACCTCACAGTTCTGGCAAAGGTTGTTAAGTCCAGAAACTTCAGCCTGCCTGGAAGGCTGGGACACCAGCCTTGTCACCTAGAGAGCAGAGGTGGTTAGGAGAGGGTGGTGGCCATAGGAAAGAAATCAGGATGGGAGTGGGCCCTGGGGGTGCAACAGGACACCTCTGTTGGATGGATGGGCAGGGAAGAAGCATGTGAGACACTCCAGGCGGCTTCTAGTCCAGGTGGACACCCCAGAGGGAGGGATAAGACCGCATCATAGCCTGGAGTCAGTGGCTCACACCTGCAATTCTCGTTACTCATGAGGCTGATATCTGAGGATTGAGAGGCAAAGCCGATCCAAGCAGACACGTCCATGGAACTCCCAGCTCCAGTTAACCAGCAGAAGGCCAGAACTGGAGGGGTGGCTCGAGTGGTAAAGGACTAGCCTTGAGCAAGAAAGCTAAGCAAGGGGACCAAGCCCCGAGTTCAAGCCCCAGTGCTGGCACCTCCCACCCCCTCTCACTTCTAGATCTTGGAAAATCAGGACCATGGGTCAGGCTGACGGGGATGGGGGAGAGGGGGTGACACAGGGCAGGGCCGTCATCCCTCCTAGCCCCAGGACAGCCCGCGGCTGGAGACCTGCGCCACCCACGGGATCGCGGGGCTCCTTTTTGACAGGAAGAGAACCCAAACTGCTGCTTTTCAGACCTGAGGAAGCTTGGGCTTTCCTGGGAAAGGAAAAATTATGGGGCCTTAAGAGATGCTCAGAGGGCAGCCAAGGCCCCGGGGTGTTACCAATGCTAGGCACCTCTACTAGTCACACCCCCTCTCCTCCCTGAAAAATACCACCGTGGTAATGCCAGAGAGTAAAGCTTCATGTCAAAGGGGTGGGCTTCGGAGCTGCTGTTTGGTTGCGTGCACTTCCCTAAGGTTCTTTCCCTTTGCATTCCCTTCACTTGATGAGGGGCTCCAGTCCCTACCTCAGGACTCAACTCTGTCGTCTTCTTGTAGGGGTTGGCATTTGCACCTCCTTTGTGGGCATCTCCTGGGCACTGCTGGACTATCACCGAGCTCTGCGCACCTGCCTTCCCGCCAAGCCCCGCCTGGGCGCGGGCTCCTCTGCCGTCTACTTTGTGTGGAATCTGCTGCTGCTGTGGCCCCGAGTCCTGGCCGTGGCCCTGTTTTCCGCCCTCTTCCCCCACTACGTGGCGCTGCACTTCCTGGGCCTGTGGCTGGTGCTGCTGCTCTGGGTCTGGCTCCAGGGCACAGACTTCATGCCAGAGCCCAGCTCCGAGTGGCTGTACCGCGCCACTGTGGCCACCATCCTCTATTTCTCCTGGTTCAACGTGTCCGAGGGCCACACCCGGGGCCGGGCCACCATCCACCTGACGTTCCTCCTGAGTGACAGTGTCCTGCTGGTGGTCACCTGGGTGACCCAGAGCGCCTGGCTGCCCGGTGCGGCCCCCCTGCAGCTGTGGCTGCCCGTGGGCGGCGCCAGCTTCCTGCTGGGCGTGGCTCTGCGCCTCATCTATTACCGCTGGCTGCACCCCAGCTGTCACTGGGAGCCCGATGGGGTGGACGGCGCCCGCGGTCTCCTCCCTCCCGACCACGGCCTGTTGCCCCGGAACAGGCGTGCGAGTCAGCTGGCTCGGAACTTTTTCCCCAAGGCCAGGGCTGAGGCTGCTGTGCCCGGGAAGGGAGATGTGAACGGGGCCCTTTGAGGTCACGTGGCACCCAGCCACGGGCAGCTCAGCCCAGGCAGTCCAGGACATGACACTGGGTAGAGCCGGTGCCCCCGAAGCTGCCCACTGATGCATTCACACCTCCAAAGTAATCGGTGGCGGGGCTGTCCCCCTGCCTCGGTTCCCGGCTTCCAGGCTAGAAGGCTCAGAGGCCCCTGGAGAGTGTTCTCCAGAATTCTTCCCTTCTGTACCCTATTCACTCATCAAATGCTTCCTGAGAGCTTCTGTACCCAGAACGTATTTTCTCACCTTGGGACCAGCTGCTGCCCGAGTGCCATTTTCTTCCTGCCTCAACCAGTCCTGGGTGGCACCTCACAGGCAGGCGGCTGTGGGTACCCAGCTGCGGGTGCCCCGCCAGCTGCCTGAATCTGTGCAGCAGCCTCAGCCTTCGTCCCTGCTCTCCGGGGCCGCCTCCAAGTGCCTTGTGGATCTGTGCGGTCTGGGCCATGCAGAGCCCATTGAGTATTTTTCTTTCTAGCCAGTGTATCTCTACCTCAGCGAGTATATGGCAGAGTGTGTACTGCCGGTGTGTACAAGTGAGGACACACGCTGCTTTCCACAGTGTTATTGGGTTGTGATTAAAACCCTGGGAAATCTTCCACACTAGACTGTGTCATTAATACCTTTTGGAAAGGAGTGGGGACATGTAGTTCTTTATGATTGGCAAAGGCACCTGGGAGAGAAGAGGGCTGGCGTGGTGCCACTTCTAACTTTGTTTTCCAAGGTTTAGGAGCTGCCGAGCTGGCATGGGGCTGCTCACTGAGCCGGCACGAGGGCTGGCTGGACCCCAGCGCTGCCGCCAGCAGCCAGAGCATCTGTAGGAGCAGGTGGAGGAGGGCCTCTGCTAGGAGCTCTTCAAAGGTTGCGTGGTGAGGTGCTTATGGGATGTCACTTCCATGACGGTTCTGCAGAACCTTTTGCTGGTCTGGGAGGTGTGTGGTTTGGAGACAGATGAAAGGGCAGGTTTCCGTTGCCAGGCATGGGATCCACAGCCGAGGACACTCAGATACAATCAACAGCGGGACACTTAATGTATTATAATATTATGTGCGAACACCAGCAACTTACTGTTAACAGAAAAGGCCATTCAAATAATCCTCACCTTGGCCAGGTAGTGGTGCATGCCTGTAATTCCCAACCACTGGAGGCAGAGTTTGGGAGGATCCTGAGTCAAGGCCAGCTTGGTCAAAAAGTTAATGAGATTGCATCTTAATAAATACGCCCGTAATCCCAGTTATGCAGGAAATAAGTAGGAGTTGTCTAAGGTCAGCTACCCCCAGACAAAAATACAAGACCTCATCTGAAAAAGCAAAAAATGCTGGGGGGTTAGCTTAAGTGGCAGAGCACCAGCCTAGTAAGCATAACCCTACTGTTCAAATCCCAGTACCATTGAAAAGCAAAACAAAAATATCTTCTCATAAAATACCTCGTTCAAAATTCTTTTAACTGAATACATTTAAACATATGCAACCTGAGATCATTGCCGTTTTCTCTCACGCAGGAGTTGAGACCTGGAGGGTAGGCTTGATTGGGCTTAGTGCACCACATGGCTTGAGACGCCGTAGGAGTTTCACCAATCTAAGTCAAATTAATTAGTTTTTCTTCGTGTCATATGCAAAGACGAGGCAGGTTCAAGGAGAAGCCATGTATCCCAAAAGATGAGCCAACATTTTAGCCAACTCCCCATTTCCCACCTGAGGAAATCTAACCCCCCCAAAAAAAAACTCCCCCCGCCCCCAGCTTCGTATTTTGCTTGGCTCTCACTTATAGTCTAGATGAAACTGATATGTCTGCAATTAAAGCTAAACAAAAGCCTGGAGCCGTGGCTAACATCTGTAATCTTAGCTACTCTGAAGGCTTGAGATCTGAGCATCATGATTCAAAGCCAGCCTGGGCAGGAAAGACAGTGAGAGACATCTCTAATTAATTACCAAAAAGACAAATTGGAGGACTGGGAAGGTGGCTCAGTGGCAGAATGTTTGTCTTGCATGCATGAGGCCCTGGGTTTGATTCCTCAGCACCACATAAGCAGAAAAAGCCAGAAGTGGTGCTGTGGCTCAAAAGGCAGAGCGCTAGCCTTGAGCTGAAGAGCTGAGGGACAGCGCCCACAACCAAAAAAAAAAGGAAAAAAAGAAAAATTGGCTTCTTTTTAATAAAGTTTAACACATATGACAGGAATTATTCCAGTTCTAACCTAAAAAAGCAATGTACTTTAGAAATAATTCAGAAATATGAAATATTCCCTTGCAAATTAAAATTCATTTTCATGTATGTGTATGTGGAGAGAGAGCGCACGCAAGCGCACAAGAGAGCTGGTCTAGGGCTTGAATTCAGGGCCTGGGTGCTGTCCCTGAGCTTTTTCATTTTTTTTTTTTGGGTCCGGTCGTGGGGCCTGAACTCTGGGCCTGGGCGCTGTCCCTCAGCTCTTCAGCTCAAGGCTAGCACTCTACCACTTGAGCCACAGCGCCACTTCTGGCTTTTTTCTTTTTGCTTGTGTGGTGCTGAGGAATCGAACCCAGGGGCTCATGCATGCAAGGCAAGCGCTCTACCACTGAGCCACCTTCCCAGCCCTGAGCTTTTTCACTTGAGGCTAGCACTCTACCATCTCTACCACTTGAACCACAGCTCCACTTCTGGCTTTTTGGTGGTTAATTGGAGACAAGTTTTGGGACTTTCCTGCTGGCTTTGAACTGTGATTCTTAGTTCAGTCTCCTGAGTAGTTAGAATTAGAGACAATGAGCCACTGGTACAGGGCTGCTTTAGTTTTGTTGTTGTTGGTTATGGGGCCTTAACTCTGGGCCTGAGCACTGTCCCTGAGCTCTTTTTGCGCAAGGCTAGTTCAAAGCTAGTGCTCTACCACTTTGAGGCACAGCACCACTTCTGGTTTTCTGGTGGTTTACTGAAGAGTCTCATGGACTTTTCTGCACAGGCTGGCTTTGAACGGTGATCCTCAGATCTCAGCCTCATGAGTAGCTAGGATTACAGGTGTGAGCCACCAGCACCCGGTGGCAGTTTTTTAAAAGTTACTTTTTTGTCGGTCGTGGGGCTTAAACTCTGGGCCTGGGTGCTGTCCTTTAGCTCTTCAGCTCAAAGTTAGCACCCTACCACTTGAGCCACAGCCTCACTTCTAGTTTTCTGGTGGTTTATTGGAGATGAGTCTCAGGGACTTTCCTATCTGGGCTAGCTTTGAACTGTGATCCTCAGATCCTCAGCCTCCTGAATAGCTAGGATTACAGGTGTGAGCCACTGATGCTGGGTTAAATTACTTTTTTAAATAAAATTAAGGACCAAGTTATCGAAAGGGTGATATCTTTCCCTGAACGCTTTATCCTGATCAAGCATGATTAGTGCCAACACATGGGATAATGGGAATAATCTTATTCAGAAAAGACAGGAGTGCTGGGAAGGTGGCTCAGTGGTAGAGTGCTTGCTTTCCATGCGTGAGGTCCTGGGTTCCATTCCTCAGCACCACAGAAGCAGAAAAAGCGGGAAGTAGTGCTGTGGCTCAAGTGGTAGAGCGCTAGCCTTGAGCTGAAGAGCTGAGGGACAGCGCCCAAAGTTCAGGCCCCAGAACCAACCAAAAAAAAAAAAAAGACAGGAAAGTCTATATAGAAAATAAAAACTTTATTTTTTTCAAGTTTATAAGATAGTTCCCATTACATATAACATTATGGTCAAGGATTCTACAGCCACAAATGCCCGCAGTCACATAAATATATCCAATCTGACCAATGCCCAATGCCTTTCCTGCTAAGAGGCATGTGAAGTCCAGAGGGAGGGCTGGGTGTGGAGGAGAAATCTGAGCCAACTCAATGGGATGGAGCTGCGGGTGCGTGGGGAGCGGCCGGAGCGCAGCTGCGCGGCGGGGGCGGAGCTGCTGATCGATGCTGCCACACACCTAGACTTGTGATTAGTTGAGAATCTCAGAATTCCGATTTGGCTTCTTCAACATACATATCTGCTGAGTTCTAATTTCCAGATGAAAATGAAAAGTTTAGGAGAAGCACAAGCCTGCTCAAGAGGGGGCCCTAACTGCTCCCTGCGGAGGAAAAGAGGGGCTCAAGTTCACCACTGCTGGCTCTAGCCCAGGCTCTCCCGGGCGGACAGCCGGAGCCCTGCTCTGCCTGGGGCTCCTTCAGTTCTGTGGCTCCGCCCTCCGGGCAAGGTGGTTTAGCTGAGTTCACCTGTCACATCCTACCCAACACTGTGGAAACTGAACAAGCTGCAAGTATGGGGACTCCAGCTTTGCCCCTTAACTTGCAGGGCAGAAGACAGAAACACCCCAAATCAAACAAAAGCCCAAATGGGCATCTAAATGTGGAGCAGGGGTCCCCTCTCCTGGACATCACCAGCTGCCCCATCGGACAGGGTGATGCTAAGGCACAGTTAGTTTTACATTCGAAAGTCACGCCACCTCTAACCCCAGGTCACCAATGGCTCCAGAGCCACCACAGAAACAGCTCCCACTGCGAGATGCCCCATCGCCTTCCGGAACTGTGCCAGGCGGGTCGCCACGTGGCTAGCTTCAGTGCACTCCCTCTTGTAGGAAGGGGGGTCCTGCCTTGTAGAAGGGTCAGGCCGGAGCCTCCAGCAACTTTTCCTTCCCTTCCAGGTCCTTGGGTGGGGAGGGGAGCAAGGGCAGTGACCCCTGGACGATCGCTCTTGGCGAGGATGACCTAGAAGCGCCTGCTTCTCATCTGCCCTCTACATGAGGACGGCGGCCAGCAGAAAGCAGAGGCTGCTCCGTTCCGAACTTCTCACCACTTCTCACTGGCCAAGTCTAACTTCCTCTTGGAAAGCGCTAAGCTGGGCAGTGAGAGTAAGAGGAAAAGGCCATACTCTAGGAATAAAGAACTCTCCCAGAGTAGAGGGTGGCTGCTAGGGCGAACAACCTGCACAGGGTGAGGCCCAAACCCAGTGGGGGGCCTTTGTCCAGACCAGAAGTCAACAGCTACCATGGAAGTGAGCGGAGGGCCGAGAGCTTTCCAACAAGGCAGGGCAGCATGTGGGCAGCAGCTGTGGACAGACCGGGAAGGTTGGCCTCAGAATCCCTCCCTGCTCGCACTCCCATCCGGAAACAGAGGCCAAGGCATCTAAGTGATGGAAGCCTCTTCCTAAACCTTAGACCATGAAGTGCTTCCCGCCAGCTCTAAGCCTGGGCAGCAGCTGTGTGAGCCCGTGTTGGAAAGAATCTTGCCGCCTTGTGCTTCGACATCTGTGGGAATGGGTACACAGCATTGAGGACCTGAGACTTCAGCGGGGGTTGCTTTAAGGACCTCCTTCTGAGGCTGCTATGGGGAAGTTCAAACCTTCTGAGCAGGTGTGCGGGTAATCCTGGAGAGCGAGGGCATCCACAGAAACACAGCTACTAGGCTAGGAGGCGGGATGAGGGCTGGGACCAACACCAAGCTGGCAGGGCCAGGCTGAGGGGTGACTCGCACCTGGCTCTGGATTTCAGGCATGAAACAGAGGAACTAATGCTCTCATTTAAATCAAGGAAGTCTTTCTGCTTTCCCATCTCAGAATGGGATTTGAAAGTAGGGTGTCCCATAGGAAATTAGGTTCCTGGAAGAGATCTGGGTAAATTCCCGCCCAGGATACCCTGCAGGTGAAGGGCCTCCTCCAGGAAGTAGCTAGGAGCTTGTGCTTAGGCTTGAGTTGACCTCTTTACCCGCCTGGGCAGGGCCTGGCTGGAGCTGGAGCTGGGTGCAGTGGATGTGAGGCTCTGAGGGTGGGGAGGGATCCAGGAGGGGTCGGGAAGAGGCTGAAGGAGTGTCCGGCAGGAGAGGGCTTCTCTGCAGGAGGAATAATTGGAATCTTCTGGTCTCAAGAGCCAAAGCGGATGAAATTCCTAAGAAGCCTGTGTCCCTTGTCTCCAGTTTGATGGCTAAGCCTCCTGGGATGGAGTTTCTAAGTCAGAGTCCACCAGACAGCTTCAAATTTACTGCCTAAGGAAAGAGGTTTCAGGGTTGTGCCATGTAGTTTAAGGGGAAGCGGGACTGAGGGGGGACTGAGGCTCTAGGATGCGGTGCCAAAGCCTAACGTTCACCAGTGCCCAGTGCCCACCATGGAGCGAGCCAGCTGAGGGGCAGAGAGGAAGTGCCGCCACCGAGGGTTTCGGCTCCTTCAGCGACTGTTTGTATGGAAGCCTCCACGCCTCTTTCTTGACAGAACAGGGGAACCTGCTTCAGAGAGCAGACCCTCCCCTCTATACACGGCATCCCCTAAAAACGGTAGGGGACGGCCTCCCAAACGCCGCGCACTGCCCCTTACCACAAGGGGCAACAGTGCCACCTGCTCGCGGACTGAGTACAATCGTACCCCGAGAATTCCCTTTTGTGTTTTTCCTTTCTGGAAACAAAACACAGAAGAATGAAAAGCACTGCAGCTGCAGAAAGGTGATGTCCTCCCCCTTCGCCCCCCCCCGTCCTGTCTAGTGTGCGTGAGGCTGGACACAGGCTGTGCTCACTCTTGGCAAAAGTTGCAGTTGTTGGTTTTGATTGTGTTCTCGCCAGCATTCCAGAGAGGGCGGGGGGGTGGGGAGAGGAGAGGAGAGAGAAGGAGAGACAGCTAGACAGCCAGACAGAGACAGAGGAGAGAAAGTAAGGAAGTTCCCAGTTGCTTCTGGCTCCCTTCAGGAGAGAAAGGAGCCCACAGGAAGTCCCCCATTCCAGTTCTTAGAGGAAGTCAAGCTCCAAAGCCTGGTGAAGGGACACTAGGTCTCCGTGGTTTGTGATCCTCCAGAAGGGCATGTTGTGCTGCAAGAGAGGGGGACAGCTGGTGAGCCCAACTCCTCCTGGGCGCTTTTATTTGCTCAGCCCCATCCTCCACAGACCCCTCCCAGAGCACAGGCTAGTAACTATCACAGGGCCCAACTCTCAGGACTGTCATCAGGAAGAAATAAGTTGAATGCACGAGCATTTTGTACAACTGTGCAAAGTTCTGATTAGGGTTCAGTGATAACTGTACTTTCATGAGACCTGCCCTAGTGATTACATAAGATCTTCAGGATCAAATGAAATGGCTTAGATAAAATGAGTATTAGCTGGATGCTGATGGTTCATGCCTGTAATCCTGGTTACTCAGAAGGCTGAGATGGTTCAAAGCCAGCCAAGGCAGGAACGTCCGGGAGACTCTTATCTCCAATAAATCACCAGAAAACTGGAAGTGGCACTGGGGCTCCAGTGGTAGAGCGTTCGCCTTGAGCTGAAGAGTTGAGGGACAGCGCCCAGGCCCAGAGCTCAAGCCCCATGACTGGCAAAATAAATAAATAAACTGGGGTGGCACACACAGAACTCTATACAGATCTAGCTACAGATGAAGGAATTCAAAGAGGACAAGTAAATTGTCTAAAGCCACACAGCTAGTAAATGCATGGGCTTTGAACTTGTCTGATTTTTAAAAAATGGAGTCTCTTTATGCTGCTCAGGTTGATCCCAAACTTCTAAGCTCACGTGGTCCTCTTCTCTGCCTCCAGAGTAGCAGGCATGGCAGACATGCACAGCCACCGCACCCAATGAACCTGCCTGACTTCAGATTCCAGCCAAAGACCTCCAGCGTCTGTTTCCTTTCCTGCATTCAGAAGGAATGACCTGGAGCTGGGACCTGTTTTTGTTGTTGTTGTTTTTTTTGTTTGTTTGTCCTGGGGCTTGAACTCTGGGTTTGGGCGCTGTCCCTCAACTCTTCAGCTCATGGCAAGTGCTCTTCCATTTGAGCCACAGTGCCACTTCCGGTTTTCTGGTGGTTAATTGGAGATAAGAGTCTCCCGGACTTTCCTGCCTGGGCTGGCTTTGAACCATGATCCTCACATCTCAGCCTCCTGAGTAGCCAGGATTACAGGCATCCAGGATTACAGGCATGAGCCACCAGTGTCCAGCTGTGACATATATAGTGATGGGGTTACCAGTAGGAAGGATTTTCATTACATAAACAACTCTCTGGGCTGGGAAGGTGGCTCAATGGTAGAGTGCTTGCCTTGCATGCATGAGGCCCTGGCTTCAATTCCTACCACATAAGCAAAAAAAAGCCAGAAATGACGCTGTGGCTCAAGTGGTAGAGCGCTAGAGGGACAGCGCCCAGGCCGAGTTCAGGCCCCATGACCTACCAAAACTAAAACCAAAACAAACAAAAAAATAACTCTCCATTGATATCCTCCCCATTACCACTTCCAGTCTGAAGCCCAGAAAAGAATGATTCCTTTCTGTAGTCAAGCCTTATGCTCTTGATGGTCACCTTGAATAAAGGCAATGGTGGAGCCACATCAGGATTAATGATGGAATCCATGTAACTAGGAGGGATGCTTTGAAGATTCCTGAGTGGCAGGAAGGAGGGGCTAGGGGAGGAGCTAACCTTGTACTGGGAAAGCTCCATCTGAGGAGAAAATTACCTTTCTCATTCCTTAAAGAAAAACAGAGCTGGGCATTGGTGGCTCATGTCTATAATCCTAACTGTTCAGGAGGCTGAAATCTGAGGACTACAGTTCAGTGAGTCAGGGCAGGAAAGTCCATGAGACTCTTATCTCCAATTAACCACCAGAAAATTGTAAGTGGTACTGTAGCTCAAAGTGGTAGAGCACTAACTTTGAGCAAAAGCTTAGGGATAGTGCCCAGGTCTTGAGTTCAAGCCCTATGACCGACAAAAAGAAAAAGCAAAAAATGGGGACCCAGGCTCATGCTACCCAGAAACTATGATCTGAGGATCGCAGTTTGAAGCCAGCCTGAACAGGAAAGCACGTAAGAACCTTATCTCCAATTAGCTACCAAAAATGCTGGAAGCCTGGAAGTGGAGCTGTGGCTCAAAGTGCCGAATGCTAGTCTTGAGCACAAAACCTAGGGAACCGGTGAATTGAAGCCACAGGACTGCACAAAAAAAAAAAAAAAAGAAGAAGAAAGAGAAGGAAAGAAAACACTACAGTTGCACAAACATCTGAGTTGCACAACAAACTGAGTTTTCTCATTTTGTTTTACCATTTTTTGAATTGCTCATAGCGCACACACTCTTTTCTTCACCACGGTTACCTGTTTGGCTGCAATTTCTTCATCTCGTCCATCTCCAATCACTACATATGTGACTTTCTTTCCAAATCGTGACACAATTCTCTCAAAGCAACTCTCTTTACCTGAGGAGAAGAAATTTTTTATTAGCAGTTTCTTCCCTACTGTTTTTCAACACCAGAGATGCAGACTGCTGCTGAATTCATCTACCTGTGCTTGGACGGAAACAAGTGGCAGACCGCGCAGTCTGGGCAGGAGTCAGAGATTCTATTGGAGCTAATAGGCTTGGGCAGAGCAAGTGAATGTGTGCCATTATGACCTTTTATTTTTTACTTTGCCAGTCCTGGGGCTGGAACTCAAGACCTGGGCACTGTCCCTGAGCTGCTTTTGCTCAAGGCTAGCGCTCTACCACTTGAGCCACAGTGCCACTTACGGCTTTTTCTATGTATGTGGTTCTGAGGAATCGAAACTAAGGCTTCAGGCACACTAGGCAAGCACTCTACCAGTAAGATACATTCCTAGCCACTATGATAATTTATTTTAACCTTCAGTCCAGGTGAAGTCTCCAAATGGTGTGAGGGAATTTCAAAATGGGAGGCCATGGGGCCGAGGCTGTGTGAGCAGTCAATAGTACCTCCCTCTTCCTGTGCATCCACAGAGCATTTTCTTATTTACTCCCTCACTTAATTCTCAAAATAATTCATGAGACAGATACCATTCCCCTCTTTACAGACGACAGTGTGACTGCATAGGTTTAGTGGCTTGCCTCAGGTCACAAGCAAGCCAGCAGCAAGATTTGACCTGGGGCCCTGACCATTGTGCTATGAAGAATGGTTTTCCCGGGAAAAAATTTTTTTTTTTGGTTGGTCATGGGGCCTGAACTCTGGGCCTGGGCTCTGTCCCTCAGCTCTTCAGCTCAAGGCTAGTGCTCTACCACTTGAGTCACAGCGCCACTTCTGGCTTTTTCTTCCCAGCCCTTCATGGTGAAATGTTTTAAAATGGGAAGATGTGGAAGTATAGGGCCCCAGTTTATTAGAAATAAAATATGGAGGGCTGAGAACGTGGCTTAGTGGTAGAGTGCTTGCCTAGTGTGCATGAAGCCCTGGGTTCAATTCCTCAGTACTATATACACATAAAAAGCTGGAAGTGGCATTGTGGTTCATGTGGTAGAGTGCTAGCCTTAAGCATAAGCAGCTCAGGGACAGCGCCCAGACCTTAAGTTCAAGCCTCAGAACTGACAAAAAAAAAAAAAAAAGAAAATATGGAAAAAAGCTATATCTATAACTCATGATTTTCTAGCAATGGTTTTGGGCACAAGCCTTGTATATCTTTTTCTTGGTGGAGCAATAGAGAGTGGAAGGGAGAACTCCAGAGCACAAGCAAAAAAATCTGGCCAACAGATACAGTAATTGTCTCATCTGGAATTTCCACATTTACTGAACTGAGAGATTGCAGCATTAAAACTGGCCTTGGGAAATGAATGATGTAAGTCCATCACAGTTCTGAGAAACATGCCAGGGTATCAAATTCAAGTATCTAAAACATGCTCAGAGCATATCTCTGTAGGAAAGAGCTATTATTTGCATAAATAAAAGGAAATTGTATCCATTTTTGTTTGGTGAGTCAAGGGGCTTGAATCTGATCATGGCCTCGGTGCTGTTTCTGAGCTTTTCTGCTCAAAGCTAGCACTCTACTACTTGAGCCACAGCTTCACTTACGGTTTGCTAGTGGTTAATTGGAGATAAGAGTCTTACAGACTTTCCTGCCTGGGCTGGCTTTGAATGTGATCCTCAGATCTCAGCCTCCTGAGTAGCTAGGATAACAGGTGTGAACCTTTTTTTTTTTTTTGGTCAGTCCTGGGGCTTGAACTCAGGGCCTGGGAATTGTTCCTGAGCTACCAATTTGGTATTTATTTCCCTATGTCTTCAGTTAGGCAGATTCCTAATTTAGTTCCTCTTCTTCCTGCTACTTTAACCTTCTCTTTCTTTCTTCTTGTCAGATCCAATGACTTAGCACCATTGCTTTTCTCAAGATGCCTGACTGCCATCTGGTGGAAGGTGGTGGTACTTACTATGTACAAAAACACCATAACTGACAAGAACCTCCATCTCAACATTCATCTCTAAACATCATTCATTCTCTAGGCATATCTGAATAGCTCTACCTCTCCTACATCCTACCTCATGGGCCCCGTGACTGTCTCCTGGACCAGACACTGTCCATTCTGGTCCAATCATTTTTTATTTTTTTCAAATTCTTCATTGTGATTAACTGATTACATAATTTCCCAAATTTCATAGTATTGTGGGATAGTGATACTTAGTGACAAACACATTCTAACTTTCATGGGGCAAATTGTCTATCGTGGTCTATAACATTTGAGTTCCATGAGCTTTGCAATACAGTTATTTCTTCCACATTGGGTGATATGTACATTTCTTTTGTTTTGCAGCGTCAGCTCTTCCCTCTTTCCTACTTGTTCCCTCCATCCCATCGCTGCCATTGAGTTGCTTGGTTCATTTTGATCAATGTCCAGTGCAGCTGATGGGTCCCGCTGTTGTATGTTTTTCCCTGATTCTCTCTAGTTCTGTGATCCTCCTGGTTTCCCTCCGGTGTGCATATATATGCCATATATGTGATCAGCAGCATGGGGTTATTTAGTAGTGATTTGACCAGATGAGGAAAGTCATTCTGGTCCTTTTAAATAAAAGGCTTGTGCTAGGAATGTGGTTTAGTGGTAGAGTGCTTGCCTAGCATGCATGAAGCCCTGGGTTCGATTCCTTGGTACTACATAAACAGAAAAAAAGCCAGAAGTGGCACTGTGGCTCAAGTGCTTAGAGAGCTAGCTTTGAGCAAAAGAAGCTCAGGAAGGGCTGGGAAGGTGGTTCAGTGGTAGAGTGCTTGCCTTGCATGCATGAGGCCCTGGGTTCCATTCCTCAGCACCACATAAGCAAAAAGAAAAAAGCTGGAAGTGG